AGTTAGCACATTAAAAAAATTTTGTTAATGTTTATTTATTTTTGAGAGAGAGAGAAAGAGAGCACGAGCAGGAGAGGGTCAGAGAGAGAGGGAGACACAGAATCTGAAGCAGGCTCCAGGCTCTGAGCTGTCAGCACAGACCTAATGTGGGGCTCAAACCCACGAACCGCGAGATCATGACCTGAGCTGAAGTCCGGCGCTTAACTGACTGAGACACCCAGGCAACCCCCAAGTCAGCTCATTTAAAAGTGGGTCTGCGGGGCGCCTGGGTGGCTTAGTCGGTTAAGCGGCTGACTTCTGCTCAGGTCACGATCTCACACTCCGTGAGTTCGAGCCCCGCGTCGGGCTCTGTGCTGACAGCTCAGAGCCTGGAGCCTGTTTCAGATTCTGTGTCTCCCTCTCTCTGACCCTCCCCCATTCATGCTCTGTCTCTCTGTCTCAAAAATAAATAAAAACGTTAAAAAAAAAAATTTAAAAGTGGGTCTGCACCATCATTATAGACAAGTAGGAAATGTCAGTAAAAAGATGAGAGTAATGGTGTGTTTGACAGTGAATTAGTCACTGCCAGACTCCTCTATATACAGCGAGGCATTCTCTGCTGCTAAGGGACAACTAAAATCTAATGATGAAAAAAATTCGGGTCCTTAGATAACAGTAAAAAGCGGATTACTCTTCTAAGGACAAAAACAACCAGAAAAGTTACTGGCAATCTTTGCACTAAAATAAGTCCCATCATATATAGAAAATAAACTCTCATATACTATTGGTGGTGGTGTAAATTGGTTCTATTTTAATGCAGGAGAATTTATGAATATTTACCAAAATTAAAATGAACAAATCTTTGATATAGCAATTTACTTTTATGAATGTATTCCCATTATAGTCCTATTGGCATAAGAGTGCATGCATATATGAAGAAAAGGATTTAGTGACTGTAAGGATGTTCACTGTGACATTGTTTGTAACAGAAGACAACTCAGAACAGCTTAAGTGTTCATCAAATAGACTGATGGCTGCAGAAATTATGAGTTATCTGGGTAGTGATATTTTATGCAGACATTTGAAATGGAACAATCTATGCATCGACATGAAAAAAAAAAATGACCACAATAAATTACATCAAAAGCAAGCTGCTTAACAGTATGATTAACTTTGAGTAAAAATACTCATCAAAGTATTCATGATGGCTACTTCTGGAAAGCGAGATGAGTTTTGTTGTTGTTGTTGTTTACTTTATACAATTCCCTACTACTTGATTTTTCAATGGAACTAGATTACTTTTAAAATTCAAAAGTTAAAAACAAGCTGTTGCACTCTGGCCACCTGAGAAGCTTTTTAATTTTTAACCAAGAGTAAGAGGACCCAGGAAATGGTTATTTTGCCCTACTCTGCCTTGGTGCCTCACACTGTGTTTGGCACACCGTTGATGCTCTCTAAGTACTCTCAGAATAAAGGAGTAAGGATGACCGACCCTGGTCACTCTTTCATGAAGTGAGATGGAAGGACGTAAGAGCATCAAGGTTTTCTAACCCTAGAATCTGAGCCAGTGGGTCAACAGAGAAGTTTATCACATTAATAGGGTTGATTTATATTAACGAAAAACTGGTTGTATAAACATCAACTCACTAAAAAACAGTCTCATCGTTCTATTTGCATTGGATAAGGATTCTTAATGAGTCTCCACCATGTTTCTTTGTCTCTTGGGCATTTATCTGTTGGCTTGGAGGTCATAAAGAGGAAGGAATCTCAGACGGAGCTCAACAGTCCAGCCGATTCAGACCCTGAACGTCCTCAGTACCATTCCCATAATAAGGAGCTCAGATTGAACACTTCTTGGGTCAGTGCTTTCTTCCCACAGGGTAATTCTTTCCTGATGAGCCCCAACTATCAGAAAGTTCCTTGTTGCACTGAACTGGAATCTGCTCCTTTGAAAAACTGACTCACGGACCCTACCTCTACCCCCAGTGTCACATACAATGGATCTAAACAGCTCTGCAGAGTGGTTTAAGAGAGTGGCTGTGCCAGATCTGCCTTGGACCCTGGCTTCCACATGTAGGTGTTGTGTGACCCCCTAGGCAAAGACTGGCAACTCTCTCTAACCCTCAATCTCTTCTTTACAAAATGGGGATTATAGTTTCTTCCTCACGGGGTTGTTTTAGGAAGATAATGAAATAATCTCTGCAAACTACCCATCACAATGTGTAGTACAAAATGCTCAACAAATAATATCCTTACAATTTCCAAAGACCTTTACCATGAGGTATTCCATGAGGAAGCAAGGAAGAAAGTGGCACAAACCAGCAAAGTTAACATATAAGGTGTCTGTCGGTAAAATGCATGACTGAGGACCTTGATCTCAAGTGACTCCTCTGTGTTTTCTTCACTTAGAAACAAATTAGAAAAAACACTCCCAGTAGGGGGAGGGGAATTTCATACCATTAATTTAGCAACAAAAAATCTGTACTTTGACAATTATAGACCCTAACTTATAAAAGTAACTTCAGGTGTTTGAGAATCTCACTCACCTCTGGGGGACACAAGGAAAGAGCTCCCTCGAGGGCTTCTCTCAAAACTTGTCTCCCTGAAGCTTGCTCATATTCACACAGCTGTCAGGAGAAGCATGAGCCTTCTTCAGCCATTCTGAAACTTTTCTTGGGGCTAATGACTACCTATCCACCTGGATTTGACTTTATGTTATTATTCAAGACGTAAATTATAAATCCTATATATATTCACAACGTAGACCTATATTTACAACATACATCTATCTATATTACGTGCCGTATGAAATTTAGTAGAGTAGGAGGCTTTAGGATCTAGGTCCTGTCTTGACCTGGCCACTGACTCACTGTGTGACCTCTTAGGATCTCAATTTACTTATCTATACAATGGCTACAATTGAGGAATCTTATGCTATCTTCTAAGGATCTGTAGGTTTGCACAGCCATGCTGGGGGCTGCTTTAATTGGGCTTCAGGCTTCTCTCATTTCAAGCAGAGTAACAATATTAAAAAAAAAAAAAAAACAACCAAAAAACCTGTTACATATCTTGGGATTCTGCTTGAAAGCCCATTTGAAAAATGAGTCTTTTTCACCAAAAGATGTTTGGAAAAAAAAAAAAAATCTCCAAATCACATGATCCCCAAGGCTGGGTTCCTTTTTCCTGTTTGTATTTCAGAGGTGGAGAGGGAATGAGGAGGAAGGGGTTGGGAAGAAGAGGCCACTGTGACAAACAGTAATTTCTCAGTCTTACCAGGCATGGTTAAGAACAGGGTATTCTGATCACTTAATGATTCTTACTCACTTTCTTCCTAAGTATATTACCTAACGGTATCAGGACATTGGATATGAACAAATCCCTTTTTATCATTCAGTTGGTACCTAACACCCGGGACATTTAAAATGACTTTGTCCTCACTCTGCCCCAATTCCTAGCCCCAGGTTTAAATCACTAAAAAGAAAATCTTTAGCACTCCAAGTCAATGGCTCAGTCCTTCCAGGAGCTGTCTTGTGGCATCCTTACAACAAAATAACAGAAGATGGAAAGTGTAATCAGTTTGGGAGGTGACATCAGCAGTCATGAGGTCAGTCTTGAACTCACAGCAGGGGAGTTCGTGGATGTGTCCAGATAGCAGAGGAGATTCCGGGTGCCCCACTTCTCATTAACTCCCTGCAAATGTTCCCTCTGGCAGGGCAGACCCCTGATGTAAACCAGTCCCTTTACTTTAGAAAAATGTGAGCTGCTGAAAGAAGCCTGTTGAAAGGGCATCACAGAGCTGCACCCTGACTTGGTGAATATTTGGGGGTATGGGAGGTGGAAGGGTTTATAGGAGAATAGTGGGGTTATGTGGGGGCAACATCCGACTGAAGAGGTACCTCTCGAATCTCTGTGGCCACTGGAGTGCACAGCTGTGGAGCTCAGCTGTATCAACAGGGCCACTGTGGCCTGCGTGTTGGGCTGTGACCTCCCTCTGCAGGGACAGCGGGGTGCAGCAGAAAAGGGGTTCGACGTGGAATCAGAAGACTCAGGTGTGAATCTCAGCTCCAGGACAAGGTGCTTCATTTCTCTGAACCACTATTTCCCTAACTGAAAAACAAGAATAAAAATACCCACTGGATCTGCCTTATGGGCATGTTGAACAAAACAGGGCCTGAAGAGCATTTCGTAAGTTAGAGAGCCCCACAAATAACGTAAACTGCATTCAGTAGCCAATGAGATAGTTGTCCAAATGTGATCCTTAAGAAACCCCCAAAAGCTTGCTCAGAGCACTTTCCCAAGATACTAATATAAAAGGTTAGTCACATCAAATAAATGAAGTGCTTCACTGTGTTCACATAATTTTCCGGTAAGTCTTAATTAAAAAAACCCGTTGTATCGGATACTCTATAAAGAACTATATATAAAATTACAAATCAAGTTGTATATGAAAAATTATACATATGATAAAATCTATATATGATTTCAAAAAATACAACTAGATTATTCTTAAAGGACTACTGTAGTGGCAACTGATCTTGTAAGTGTACACACTTATATCAAAAAGTTTTACCATACCATATGCTCTCACTCATATGCAGAATTTAAGGAACAAACCAAACAAACAAAGAAAAAAAGAGACAAACAAAAAAGCAGACTCTTAAATACAGAGAACAAGATGGTAGTTGCTGGGGGGAGGAGGGTAGGAGAATGGATGAAATAAAAGGGATTAAAGAGTACAGTTATCATGATGAGCACGGAGTAACGCACAGAATTACTGAATCACTATACTGTACACTTGAAACTGATAGAACACCATATGTGAATTACACTTCAATCAAATAAAAAAAATGCTCATCAAAGTCCAAAAAAAAAAAAAAAGTCTTACAAAAGTAGACTAAACCCAGAGTCTCCATTTTAGAACTTCAATAAGTAGTGTGTGCTTTACTACTCCTATTTTAGACCATTGCATGTTGGAGTCATCCATGTAGACTGAGAAGTTAGAGACCTTGGAGCTCTGCTTCCTATAGAAGACCATCAACTCTTCGATCAGGAAGTTCTCTGGAACAGTCCTCTTCATTTTCCTCTGAGCAAGACAGGTTCAGTGCATTCATCACGGGATGGATCCAGGATGTCGTCTGTGTTACGTGACTTGAGAAGAACAAGGAATGCAATTACAGTCTGAAAGATTGTCCTTCTACCCATCCATGCAAGTACTGATCCCAGTGACACTGCGTCCACCCTACTGCAGCCCCTGGTCATGGGAAGCAATTGCAACTCGATCCACTCATTTTGAAAAGTCTTGGATATGTTTTAAGGTTCAACAAAACCTATTTGTTTCTTTATTCTTTGGTAGAAAGGAATGTAGGAGAATGCATCATCTTTGACAACTTGTTCTCCCTTACCCGACATTCAGTCAGCAAATCCTGGGATTCTCTTGCTGAAGCATCTGTGGAATCTTTTACTCCCCCACTCTTCCAGGGCTATACTCTGGGTCACCGAAACAGCTTGTCTCTCTGCCTCTGTTTCTACTTCTTTTCTAATTCAATCTCCTCTAGCCAAGAGATTTTTCTAAATGACAAATCTTACGCTGTTGCTTACCTGCTAAAAATTCAGTGCCAACCAATGCCTTCTGGATCAAATACCTACTCCATGGTATGAAATACCTTGATTTTTTTTTTTTTTTACCTGCTTCAATAATACTTTTTTTTTTTTCTGCTACAGTCTTCCTCCCTCCCATCTTGTTTATCTAGTTAACTTAGACTAATTCTAAAGAACCAAATTTTCCTAGGGGCACCTGGGTGGTTCAGTTGGTTGGACATCTGACTTCAGCTCAGGTCATGATCTCACAGTTCATGGGTTTAAGCCCCACACTGGGCTCTGTGCTGACAGCTCAGAGCCTGGAGCCCGCTTTGAACTCTTTGTCTCCCTCTCGCTCTGCCCCTCCCCTACTTGCACTGTGTCTCTGTCTCTCTCTCTCTCAAAAATAAACGAATAGACTAAAAAAAAAAACAAAAAAACCCAAATCTCCCTCAAAATTCCTCCAATCTGTGTTCCTGATCTTATCTCTTATTACACTGTACTTTAAGTGTCTGTTTATTTTCAGGCCTTCTTACTGCATATGAAGTTCCATCAGGGCAGGAGCTATGTTTCCTATGCCTGCATTTATATGGTGCCTAACACGTGCTCAGAATGAATGACTAGGCATTTCAGGGAAGAACACAAGCAGAGGTAAGGAAGGATGTACAACAGGTACAGGGCATGTTCAGGGAGCGGTGAAACAACATTACAAAGTGTGTCTCTACCTGCTGGATGGTGTTTCTCAGACCTGGTTTCCAACCCTCAGCCTCTGGCTGAATGAATCTCCTGTATCCACCACTATCTGCCCAGCTCCTGAGTGTGGACAGGCAGCTTCTGGAATTAGGATGATCTGTTTCTTCTTCCTGGACACTCTTTCTACCACTGGCTTACCCTACTGCCCTCATCCATTTAGATCAGTCTCCCCTGACTCCTATCCCACCCAAACTCAACCTCGGAAGCAGTACCATGTCTTAGATCAAGTCCATCTGAGGGCTGGCACTTAAAATGATCAAATAAGATGGGGGGGGGGGGTTGTCTAAAAATATATTCTACATGACAAAATAGCATTTCCAAGGTATGTTAAAAGGGTTTTTAATTACTGTTACGTGAAGAAGATAATTCCATGGTCAAATAAGTTTGAGATACACTAGGTTAAACAGAGCTAAAGTTTCTTAACTGAAGGACTTCCCTAAACCTTAAATATATTAACATGTTCTATGCCTCTCCAACAGTATGTGGTATTACTCAAGCTAACGTGCCCCTGTTAGCACATGTGGGACCAGTGTTCCATAGAGCATAATTTGAGAACTATCACATAAATGCACGGACTTTATTGGCTGATGACGGCAATAACTGAAAATGTTGGACTTACTACAAACAGGCAGTTTCATCGTCAGTGATGTTTTTGACCCTAAGTCCTAAATTCTCTGCATATATCCCAAAACAAATTGTTCAACTCCTCAGTTTGAATATTAAAATTCACTTTTCCACGGAAGATCGCTGATAGTTTCATGATGGCGTAAACAAATTTAAGTTGCTTTGAGAATCAAGGTGAAGGTGGCAAGGCCCAAACATCTTCATCATTTCAAAAGCTCAGAGTGTGGTTAAGTGGTACAAAGACTCATTATTCTCTTGACAGTAATCCACATCACTGTTATCTCTTTAAAACGGTTTAATGGAATTTCTTATTATAGTGACTAAACTTACTGAAGCATTAGATTATGCACAGGTTAACTTCATTTCCAGGCCTTTGGGGTTGAGGGAAGCTGCAAGTCTGCCCAAGTTGAAAGTGGCTTTAAAGAAATACTAATGAGTGTAACATAAGAGGGCCAGGATGCCGCCACAAGGTAAAATGAGGACACGTCATTCTGTAAAAAGCACCTGTTTAAAACTAAAAGGAAAAACTTGATGAGACAATTTTGCTAATTTAAAAAATCTTGGTATATTTACTTTGATGTGATGATGCACATTTGTAATATGTTAGTCTGAAGAAGAGACTAAATTATTATAAAATCCTCCCTCCCCAGTAATGTCCCGTAATTAGGAAGTGTGGGAAGGAGGGAAAACAGGAACAACCACCTGAGGAATGACTTCAGGTGCACACTCTCCTATTAAACTTTCTGAAAAATAATATTCTCATGCTTCAACATTATAACTACCTATAAATGGACATTCCATTAAATTTATCACTTAGATGAAGCAAAGGCAAAATGTCTAAGGAAAAAAATGTAGTTATAGACTCTGAACGATGACTATTAGAAAGTTCCCCTAGAAAGTGATCTTTGCCAGGAAACTTCATCGGGCACTTTTACAGGAACAAGTCTACATCTGAACTTTTTCCAAATCCAAAAGTAACATCCTAAAATACTAACTGATTTAAGCTTATGTTCACAATACACTTCTCCATATATGTTTAAAAAAACACACACCCAAACACCAAACATGCAATTACAAAGGGTACTCACTGGAAAAAAACAAAACAGCCAACAAAGGGATAAGGTTTCTATACTTCAAGTACACCTAGGCCTTGTGTACAAACATTCAGACTAATGCTTCTAAAACTCAGGTAATGCACATAAAGTGCCTGGCAAAGAGTTGATATTCAATAAAAGATCATGGCTAGTTTTGTTTTGTTTTTTTGATAATTAGAACTTTGTGATTATTGCAAGAAAAACTTGGAACTCTTCCTATAATGCTGGAACGGGGCCATCTGTGTGTATACCATTCAATTTTATGTCCTAGTGAGCATAGTGACTAAAGAGCTTTGACATAATCAGTATGAAGAGATAATCCCAGATTTACTGGCTTGGAGAACATTCTAGTATTAGAGATATTTCCTCTCTGATTTGTGTGCTTGGTAATTCAACTGAGAAGAGACAGACCAAATCAGCCCTGTTGAGTCTGTTTAATTAATAAAGACCCCATGGTTCATACAGTGAGATGCTGCTACTTAGTATGAAAAATTTAAAGGTCTGGAGAATAAATGAGGCTGACTATGGAACGTAAAAATCTTCCATTTGAACACACACTACCTCTGGCAAATGTTCCTGCAGGGAGTGCATCTGACCTGATTTGGGGAGCAATCAACAGCAGTTCAGATATATCGGAAAATCCAAAAAGCATAATACCACTTGCCTCTGAGTGATTGCCAAATCTGTTGGTGGAAAACAGGAATATTTGATCTAGGAAGATGACAGTGTTGTGGGGTTTTATTTTTCTTTTATAATATTAGTAAATTGAAAGACATATTTTAGAACTTATAAAAAAAACCTAAGAGAACATGCTTTATTTTATTGGCAAAGAAATGTAAGTGAATTATTTAAATCCCATTATAATTACCCTCCTTATGTTTCTTACCTCCTAGCATGCAAAATGCTTTCTTTCGAAATAAAAATTTAGGACAGCCTTTAAGAGAAAAGTGGTTTAAAGACAAGAAGTGCGCTAGTTTTGAAGAAATTCATTCTTAATAACCGTCTGTGATGATAAAAAGGTTCTTTTGTTAAACTCCACTGTAAATGGCACTATTTATATATCACTATGAATTTAGCAACACTGCATGTATAATTTTATCATGTTTAAGATAAGGCTGCAAAATAATGAGCCAAAGTAATTAACTTGCAATGTCCTTTTTTGGGGGTGGGGGGATAATCCTATTCATATAATATTCATATGAATGAGAAAATAAAGACAAATAAGTAAATATATGTTCATTCAACCTGTTTCTGGTACCAGTATCTTGGAATCACTGGAAAATTTTACAACTGGCCACAAACTGCAAGTAGTAATAATAATAAAAGACTTATACTTAAAAAATAATCCCAATTGAAAACAAATGGGAAGGTAAGAACAGAAAGTGATCCATGTCAGGACACTTGGGTAGCTCAGTTGGTTGAGTGCCTGACTCCTGACTTCAGCTCAAGTCATGATTTGATACCAGGTTTATGGGATTGAGCCTCGTGTGGGGCTCTGTGCTGAGCATGGAGCCTGCTTAAGATTCTCTTTCTCTCTCCCTCCGCCCCCTCCCCTGCTCATGCGCTCTAAAGTTGAGACAGAGAGAGAGAGAGAGCGAGAGCGAGAGAGAGAGAGAGAGAGAGAGAGAGAGAGAAAGTGAACTATGTCAATAAAATAATTAAAAAGTCACCAAACCTTGGTGAGGCAGCACATAACCTTGTCAGACACTGGTACAAGAATGACTAGGAATCAGTGATATGAAGTAATCCATTCTCAAACATGTTTAAGAGAAAATTATAAGTTGTTTGTTCCTAGTGACATATAAGGAGTTCTCTCTTACATAATTTTGGAAATACAGCCCTAAAATCAAATAGGATATTTCTCATTAATTAACTTTTTAAATATCACAGAACACTTCCAGCACTTTTTAATTGAGTATTTGGAAATCCAGTGGGGGTCTGATCAAATATTAGCAGGATCTCATCCAAATCTTTACAGTCTTCAGGACAGATTTTATTTTTGTTTCCTATTTATGGCAATTTATATAAAAAATACATCAGATATCTTTTGAAAATTTAAAAATCCAATTAATTAAAAAACCTCTGGGGCATGTAGATAGC